CGAACAAACGCCTGGGCAGCAGAATAATGTCCAAATTCGTCCCATTCTTCCACTTTTGGGCCAAGGAAGCTCGGGTGGGGCGATTTTTCGAGGGATTTTCAGAGAAAACAACGCGGTAAGTGTTCTTAACTCAATTTTGGTTAGATTACCTGAATCTATTACTAATTTTAGCATTTAATTTGTGATTTAAGTTGGAACAGTTGGAAAACCCTCTTGGATAGATTTGAAATTTGGGGGTCGAATTGTCATCGGAATTTAGTAATTTTGGTAAGGTTAGACTCGTGATTGGACGGGCTTTCATATTCCGTGATTTTCGTCAGATTTCGAGACGTGGGCCCCATGGGTGAATTTTGAGTTAATTTCGGATTTTTATTGAAAAATATAGTATTTTCTTATGAAATTGATTCTATAAATTTTGTTGACTGTATCGAATTATTTTGGCTAGATTCGAGCCATTCAGAATTGGATAATCGAGGAAAAAGGCCTACTAGTGGATTTAAATTTGAGCAAGTCGAGGTAAGTATCTGGCCTAACCTTGTGTGCGGGATTTCCCCCTAGGATTCGAGTCTTCTATGCTGATTGTTGTCCGTGTGCGCGAGGTGACGAGTGCGTGCTCGGACTTATTTGTGGAAAATTGGCCTTTTAGGGTTCTTAGGTCCTTATATTCACTAAGTAGGAAGTTGTTCTTGCTGTGATTGAGTTTCTAATTGCTAGTTTCACCTCTACATGTTTTAATTGGAATCTATTGTTTCCTGATCCATTCTTATTGCCTATTTGATTCTTATTTGACTTAACTGATGACTTTTACCTCTCCTACTGTCATGTTATATTTTGTCCATAGCTGCTGGTCTTTATTTAGAATTCATTATTATCTCCTCTGTAATTGTTTAGTCTTAATGGATGTTATGATTATCTCCGCGCTGCTTATCCTAAACTGAAATTGTGTAAACTTTTAGTAATTTCCCAACTTCAAAAGAAGTTTAGACACCCTATATTCTAGTTGACATGTCCTTATTTGTAATTATCTGACTCGTGTTAGCTTCCTTGTTGTTGGACTGGGTTATGTCAGAGATTGATCGTGATGATTTGTGATGGCCTGGGGGCATTCTTGTTGTTGATATTGTGTTGTGGTACACTTACCTATATGAGCTTTATCTCGTAAAAGTTGTGAGAAAACATCTTACGTGTTGTCCGTTCTTTTCCTTATGCTTATTAGCTGGTATGAACTATGTTAGAGCATTTGCACAAGCATACACGTAGTTAAACACTCCTATCGGATAAGGAGTTCTCCTGATATTGTTGAGTATAGATGCACACCCTTGTTTATTTGCCTTTCATGTGAGGATGGATCTATTTGGCACGTGAGTTGTCTGTATGATCATGGGGTGTGATGAGGGCATAGGATGTCAAGTGCTAGGGTTCAGGTATTGAGACCCGTATTGTATGATTATGAGACGAGATGTCACAGGGTGGCTTATATTTGACAGATTATTCATTTGAAAAGATTATATTCGAAAGGTATCTATTTCGAAAGAATTGATTTTTTTTTTTTTGGAAAAATAATCATTTGGAGGAAGTATATTTCGTAATATTTTCTTTAACACTTGAAGGATTTGACCAATTGGTTGAAGTTTGTTGGTTAAGGCCTAATGTGAAAACTACCGTAGTTGTTCAGTTATGACTTTTCTATACTGTATTGTGATTTCGTATTTGGGTTGTATTTCCGTTCACTTTTCTGTCCATCCTTATTACAATTACTGTATTGTTAGCCACACCGCGTAGTCTTTATATAGATATCATGTTCAGTGGTTTCTATACTTATGCTTGTTCTGTTTTATTAGACAAGTGGGTGTCTTGACTGTTCCTCGTCACTACTCCACAGGGGTTAGTCTTGATACTTACTGGGCACCGCTTTTGTACTTTTTTTAACAGATCCAGGTATTGATCGCTAGTAGCTGTGCGAATTCTTGCCGAGGAGACTCAAGGTAATCCTGTTGCTGCATTTGCAGGCTTCGGAGTCACCTTCCTATCTTTTTGTGTTCACACTGCTATACTTATTTCCATCCAGTTGCGTTTTAGAAATCGTAGCGAAACTCTGTAGAGCTTATAACTTGTACTACCGGTTTTGGGGTTGTAAAGTTCAAAGAGATTTCTATTTCAAATTTGTTAGATGTTATTTAAATATTGTTGTTGTTTCCTTAAATGTTAGGCTTACCTAGTCCCTAAGACTATGTGCCATCACGAAACTCAACGGAGGGGAAAATGGGTCGTGATACTAAAGCTCTTATATTTATAAAAAAAATTAATTCATATATAGTAAAAAAAAGGGGGGCTTCATAATTGGGGGTCCAAAGGCAGGGGCGGAGAGCGGAAATGTGTATCTGTGTGTGTGTGTATATATATATATAGAGAGAGAGGGGGGGGGGGGGGGGGGTTTGTCAAATTACTACATAGTTGTAGTAGGTTAGTCATCTTTCATTTTCCTTAAATATTTTTAACAATTAATTGATATACATTAATATGAGAGGTTTCTTTTGTCTTTTTAACAAAGACTAAAAGCCACCACAACCCCTATCCTCGTCCCCCTCTCCCCAGCTTCTCTCCCTTCAACAATCTCCTTCTACCTCCTCTCCCACAACGCCATAGTTTGTCAAGAAATACAAATCGATAAGCCTACTCTCTTGCTCCTTCTCTCACTATGCAATGTGCCCACATGAATTTAAGAATTTGTGCAATTTGTTGCCCATTTCAATAAAATCAAAAATACGATCTTTCATCTTTCCATCCCCACCCCCATATTTAAGTGTGATGACCCAAAAGGTCATCACTTGATTTACAAGTTAATTCTGTATTTCGAGGTCTTAAAAACCTCCTTTTATCTCACCTCGATTTGTGTGCACGGTCCGGGCGTACATCCGAAACGCTTTTATGTCAAACTTTTATAAAAAATGCTAATTTTGCCTTTAAAATTGAATTTAAGTTGACTTCGGTCAACATTTTGGGTAAACGGACCCGGGCTCGTGATTTGACTGTCTCGGAGGGTCCGTAGAAAAATATGGGACTTGGGTGTATGCCCGGAATTGAATTCCGAGGTCCCAAGCCCAAGAAATGAATTCTTGAAGAAAATTGTTTAACTGAAATTTTAAGAGTTTTTGGAAATTTAAATGTGTTTGAATTTGGTGGTATCGGACCTGTATTTTGGTTCCGGAGCCCGGTATAGGTCTTATATGATATTTAAGTTGTGCCTGTAAAATTTGGTTAGAAACGGACTTCATATGACGTGAATCGGACCCTCGGTTGAAAATTTTGAACTTTAAGAGTTCTTGAGATTTTTCTTTGATTTTGATGCTAAACTCATAGTTCTAGATGTTATTTTGATGATTTGATAGCACGAGCAAGTCCGTATGATGTTTTTGGACTTGCGTGCATGTTTGGTATGGAGCCCCGAGGGCTCGAGTGAGTTTTGGATAGGCCGCGGAGTGTTTTGAACTTAGGAGCAGCTGCTAGTGTGTTGCACGTCTGCAGGCTTCGCAATTGCGAAGCCTGGCTCGCAAATGCGAGCTCGCATTTGCGAATGACCAAGGCTTCGCAATTGCGAAGCCTGGCTCGCAAATGCGAGCTCGCATTTGCGAATGACCATCACATTTGCGATGACTGGGCAGGGGGGACCTTCGCATTTGTGAAGCTCCATGTCGCAAATGCGACTCCAGCAGAAATTGCAATTGTGAACGACGGTTCGCATCTGCGAAGATAGTAGGCTAGGCCAACCTTCACAATTGCGAGGCCTTGGCCGCATTTTTGAGTTCGCATTTGTTAACCTGGCATTGCAAATGCGATAACTGCGCCTGGGTAAATTGAAACTTAGATGGATTTCTCTTCATTTTTATAACTCTTCAAACCCTAAAACATTTTTGGGCGATTTTTCAGAGGCACCTACTCTTCCAAATCATTAGTAAGTCATTTCTAACTCATTTCTTTCAATATAAGCCATCTTCTTACATGATTTCATTTCAAAATCAAGGCTTTTTCATGGGAAATTGGGTGATTTTGGGTAGAACTTAGGATTTTCAAATTTAGGGGATTTGGACCTTGATTTGAGGTCCGATTTCAAAACAAATTCTATATTTGAGTTCGTGGATGAATGGGTAATCAAGTTTTGGTTCGAACCTCGGGTTTTGACCTAGCGGGCACAGGGTCGATTCTTGACTTTTTAGGGAAATTGATAGAAAACCTATAATTTAGCATTGGGATTGAATTCCTTAGCATTTATTGATGTTGTTAAATTAATTTGGGTTAGATACAAGTAAATTGGAGGCGAATTCTAAAGGAAAAGCGATGTTTGAGGCTTGAGTCGGCCGTGGAAGTTCGAAGTAAGTGTTTGGTCTAACCTTAGCTTGAGGGAATAGGTGTTGTGCCTTATTTGCTATGTGTTAGTGTAGTGTACGACGTATAGGTATGGTGACGAGTATCTACGTTGGTGTCAAGCATGCCCGTGTCTCAAATTGTGATCGTTGTGTTTTCTTAACACTACTAAAAAATTGGACTATTGCAACGGTTCAAAAACTGTTGCAATAGGCAGTAAAACCGTTGCCATAGATCTATTGGGACGGTTTAGCACCCGTAACATCAGGTCGCGTGCCAATAGGCCAATTGCAACGGTTTTTTGCAACGGTTCGAAATTCGTTGCGATAGGTCTATCTATTGTAACGGTTTAAGAACCGTCGCGACCCCTTCTAGTGCGACGGTTATTCTTTCAAATGTGACGGTTCAAAACCGTTGCAATTATCATTTTTTGCAACGATTGTAGTGGCTGTTGCAACGTGTTTTTGATGCTATAGCAACGGTTATTAGAGGTCTTAAGAGCTATCGCAACGGTTTTTAAGAGCTATCGTAACGGATTTTGCCTATTGCAATGGGATGATGGTTTATGACAATAATTATTTATTTATATATATACTTAAATTTATATAAATCACAAAAGAAACTATGCAACAACAAAATCACAATCCAAATAATCAAGTAGTATTATCTTTTATTAAAGAAAAATGTACAATACTGTTTGACAACTTCAAAGAGTTGACATACATAGAACTTCTAAAATAAAAAATTCCTAGAACATCTAAAGACCTTGCATCCATCAACCAATATCTAAAGTACTTCACTTCTTTTGTCTACTCCTTCTTCATTTGCTTTACCTACAAAACCATCAAAAAACTAAGTTATATCGGATTTATTTGCATAGCGATTAATTAAAAAAGAACTCACATGGAAAGGAAGCAACATACACAAGATTAACATATAGTTCAATTTAATCAATTTTACAGTAAGTCAAAAGAATGCAAGTTGTTAGGGACTACCATCCAAATAATATCCAAATGAGTCCGACTTAAGGAGTATAAGTTGCATGTGACAATATTAAATATGATAGGCAAGCGTTAAGAAAAAGGCCGCAACTTCATATTTTAGAAAAACCAGTCAAATGAGAAACACCAAACTTCATACGGCAAGAACTCCATATCTCAGTCCCATTCAAACACAAAAAGCAACAACAGGCAGAAGCACTTATTCATACTAATATGCGCCAGCAAAAATAACTTTACTTGTTGTAACAAGCATCTTCAATAACTCCAGGTAATATCAATAGAAGCTATTAAAAGTAGAAAGAAAAAAATTACTGTGCACACCTTCAGGTTGTTAGTTTCATACCCAACTTCACACATTCATATCCAACAATTAGTTTCAATAATTAATTGCTAGAGAGTACACCTAATACATTCTTATCACAAAATTGAAACACGAAGAATAGTTTTAACATGATAATGCAGTAGTATTGCAGTATCAACAAACAAATTGATATTAACACAAAAAAGATGAAGTTGCATACTTAACTTGTAATATGCCTTTCACATGCTTCAGACAATTTATCTCTCTTTCGACGGCTAGTATAATTAGCAAGAGGTAAGAATAGTAAAGGTATTGTATCCATTATGCAAAAAAAGTTGAAAACTTCACACTGCTGCAGGTGTATAAAAATAATATTATGTTACATGCCACTTTACATATGTAGGTATTTTTAGAGTACCAATAGCACAAGAGATAACTCACTTATAAATGAAGTACACAACATCAACCAAATCAGCTAGGTTTTAAGGTGTATCCATGTTTGAGCTTCTCTCCATGAACGAACACACAATGTTCTTTACAGTATAGAGGAGAGTTTCCAGATAAAGCAAGAAGCAACAACAACATTGGAGCTCTTACACCATACTCATTAATTTCAATTTTGGTAGTCATTTTACTGCCTCCAAACTGGACTTATTATGACAATCAAAATTATATTTAATTGCCTGCAACACTGGCCAAATAACTTAAAAGTCTCTTCCTCAATCCAATAAAATTACATTAGAGCAAGCCTACTCAAAAGCTCTATGATAGGTCTAAACCTTGGAGCATAGACAACACAAAGGCATAAACAAATAAAACTGAAGAAGTGTTCAATATTATTAAAAAAATACCAAACTAGTACACCGAACAAAAACATTATATATGTTATTAAATTTAAAAATTCGTCTCTTGAACTATACTAGTCACAAAAGATTGAAATAATGGAATTAATACAAGAAATCTATTGAAGGAAAGAGGCAAAAATATGATCACAGTTTAATGATTATTCACTAATCATTGCAGGGTATACAATCTTCAAGTTGATATAAATACTCAAGCTAATACATGATATTTAAAAAGAAAAGAAAACTTCAAACTTCAATGCTTAAGAAAAATAGAGAACTAAAGAAAAATATATATATTTCAACAACAGTTAAATCAAATAACATTTATAGACACACAAAGAGGTTCTAAGATAAATATCATCAAATAGATAGCCACTACCAAAAGATAACTAGTCGTTTTCATAATATCAAAACTTAAATAATTTTTAGATTGTAGACCAAACTATACCTTTTCAAACATGGATAAGGCTCTATCATAGAATCTCTGCACAAGCTTATATTAATAAACATGTCACAACTCTGAAAAAGGAATAGAAAGGGGATTAGACTTAGATACACCTAGATAAGAACGGGTGACTCTTCTAACACATAAGCAAAGGACAGAAACCTTCTAATACTAATGAGACTAGGTCATTATGATACAAAATACAAGGTAGGAAATGAGTATTTCACATTATTTCTGGTATAATCGCACTTGCTTAGATGAATGAGATTGCCTTCATAAAATGAATAAAACTTTAAAGGATATCTCATGGAACAAAGGTTACTAAGTCTTCAATAGTCAAATTAGGAAGAAAAATAATGTTTAGTTTGGACTTTGGTTTCTAAATTATTTGAGGTAATAATATGATTTTTCCCTGTTGTCACTTAGAGCCTTATTAGCATTTTTCCAGACTTCAAACCTTAAATAGCAAGCTTTAGTCAATAAATAGAACTAAAACTATCTTTCATTCTTTGAATTAAATAGTGATGCAAGAAGTCGAATTTAGAATCTTTTATCCTAATCGTCCAACTTTAACATAGTACAACATTAATACTACTTCGTCACAAGTCAGATTAGCAAATTTCAAAGTGTCGCCTTGTGATATGCTATTTAGATATCTACCCATACACACTCATTTTTTAATACAAATCATCTAAAACTATTTTCCCATTACTAAAATTGCACACTTGAGCTACGATCTGTTTACTTCTTCCCTATTCCAAGAAACAAAATGAAAGGAAGAAAACATAAAGAGCCTTTGAAGCGACATGGTAAACCATGTTTCTCTTGGAAAGTCACTGACTTCCAGAAACATTGCCGCAGCAAATGGGGATAAGAGTATCTCATCATGCAGGACAATGAAAAGTTTAGGTTTTGAAAGAATTTCCGAAATGCAATTTTTGTATTTGTAATACTAAAGAAAAATAGACTGTAAAACCTCATTAACAGGAATTCCATGAGAATGTAACCTCTTGGTGTATAGCCTTTTTAGGTCCCATGACTGATGCAAATGCATCAACTGATTGACTACAATCTTCACTTTCTTGAGTTGATTGAATTTTTTCCATTTCAACCTACAAATCAAATTAAAAGAGAAAAGAGTTCAAGCAAATAAAATTGACTCAATAATTAAGAAAAAAGAAATGATCTCAACAAACATTAAAATTAGAAAACTTTGTACAATTTTGCGTAATGTATCTTCATATGAGTCCTTCTATACTCGACCAAGTTTTCTTTGTCTTGTAGCCACAAAAAAGTCCTTGCTTGACACACCATCAGTATGTTCCTTCTTTTTTTCCTAGTTACATGAACGTTGACATAAAAATCAGCCTAGTAAGGTGAACAAGTTCATATAAAATGAAGTTCACATTACTTCACCCTAATAAGTACCTTATACTACTCAACTCATGCTCATAAACACAAGTGTTAGGTGCTTATATTAAAAATCACTTAACATGAAGTACTTATAAAACATTAAGGTGCTGGTTGATTAAAATTATTGAAGAAGTGTTTTAACTTACTGAAACACTTCTTTTATGCACATGACAAACTTTTGTAACTAAGAAGCAATTGCACTATTACTCTTATTTCAAACTCATATACACAAGTTAAATACAAGGTAGGCATGATTTAAGTAAAAGAAACCTCCTGCCTAAATTAATCAATGCGAATAAGAATTTAGAATGATTAATCTCACGACCAACAGTCTATGATACATTCTACAAGTAAAATTATACTTTTCACCCTTACGAAACTAAACTTTGTGAAGCCACTAATGAAAATCAAACATCAAATATTTACTATAGAAAAGTTATTACAATATATATATATATATATATATATATATATATATATATATATATATATATATCTGCAGCATTGACATATGCCATAACTCATCCGTAAAATTCTTAAGCTATAACTTAGTGACTAAGATTTGGTGAAGGATGCAACTAAAACTATATAATACTCGAAACAGAGATATGAGCATAACAAATTCGGACATATTTGCACCAGAATTATAATTTTGCAGCAATACTATGGTAGTCCGTAAGATAACTCAAAATTCATATTACACTTGATTTTCCAGAGAGATTCTCTCTTTACTTTCTTTTACATTTAAGTTTACATTCTTTCGTGTCTTCTATAACAAGAATATGTATGTGTGTGTGCGTGTGTATATTCTATAACAAGAATATGTATGTATGTGTGTGTGTATATATATAGTAAATGAAAAGTTAATTTATGTACCTGGTGTACCTGGAAGATTTCTTCTTTTCTTGGAATAAGAGTTGGATTTAGAATTAGGGTTTGGTTCAAGAAGTACATCCTGAGAATGATGAGGCAGTACTCTTTTGACAGAAGAAGGAATTGCAAAACATCACCAGACATCGTTTGAAAAAACAAAAAGTACTTTATGTTTTCTTCTAGATGACTATAATCAAACAGTTGGTGCATTGAAACTTGAGGAAATTTTATACCAAACAGAGAGTACCTTTGCAATTTTATTTATACTAACCTGAAACTAAAAATAAATGAAGAGAAACCCTAACTTCTCCCTAAAACCCAATTGTAAGAAATCCAAAAATTGAAACCAAAACCCAATAATTGAACCCCCCAAAAAAAGCACAATTCCAACAAAGCACATGTGAATATGAAAGAATCAGAAGACATGCACACTTCGTCACTCCATTCAAACAGAAAAGACCAACAAATCTGGTTACAAGGAATATTAAGACCAAAATCTCCATTCAAACACAACATTGGTGAATCTGGTTACCCAATTTTATTAACAGAATTTACAGCGTTGGCCTCTATACATGATTCAACCATTGAGAAATTGGAAAGGGACAAGAAGAAGAACATGCAAAATAAATTAGAAAAACTCACGAGATTACTTGGAGGCCGGGGCTGTGAGTTGCGAGCAGTTGGCGAGGAAAATCCCTAATTTTTGGACGAAGATGGGAAGAGGGCCGAAGCTTTTGCTTGTATTGTCATCGAGTTCTGGGAAATTACTTAAAGTAAAAATAAAAGAAAATAGGGGTTTTGGCGGGCTTAGCAAAAATTAAGAGTGAAAATGTAGAGGGAATTAATAACCGTTCCAATAGAATTTTTTTCTCAAATTTCGTTTTCATAGATATATCTATTGGTACAGTTTCCAAACCGTTGCATATAATAAGATCTATGGCAACGGTTACTGAAGTGTTGCAACGGTTTGATAGCTTAAGTGTATTGATAGCACCCAGATTCTATTGTCACGGTTGAAACCGTTGCTATATACCATCTATAGCGACACTTAAGAAACCGTTGCCAAAAATTCCGTTGCTATAGACCCATTTTCCAATAGTGTAATAAGTACTATGTATGCCTAAATTGTTGATTATCCATGTTGAGTAAGATTTATGATTCTCTTCTTGGTATTTTGTTATTGTTGAGCATTGGCTCTAGTTGAGGTGAAATTGTGAAGTTGATTATTGGTACAAGTTGGTTTATAGCTGATTCCCTTGTCGGGACGTATTTAATTCTTATTGTTGATTCCCTTGCCGGGACATATTTATACTTATTGTTGATTCCCTTACCAGGATATTGTTGTTGCTATTGTTTGGGTGAGGAAAGAGTGATAAATCACGAAGGGTGATGCCATGCACATTAACATTCATATTATGCATATGGTGAGGAAAGAGTGATAAAACACAAAGGGTGATGCCGTGCACATTTACATTGATATTGATGCATATGGTGACGGAAGAGTGATAAAGCACGAAGGGTGATGCCGTGCACATTCATACTTATTTATATGGTAAGGAAGAGAGGTAAAGCACGAAGGGTGATGCCGTGCACATTTTCATTACTTGATTGCATTGGTGAGGATTGAGAGTAAAAGCACGAAGGGTAGTGCCGTGCACATTTTCATAACTTGATTGCATTGGTGAGGATTGAGAGTAAAAGTACGAGGGGTGATGCCGTGCACTTATTTCCGGTTTGTTATGATTTCTTGCTGTTTTTGGTTCAAATGCCTTAATTGTCTTATTCCACTATTACTGTCATTCTTTGTGTTCGTATTTCCCCCATAGCATGTTATGCCTCCTCGTTACTTTTGAATTACTTTTGTTACTATTATTCTGCTAGATATTGTGTAACTGCAGGTTAATTATTTGTTGTGTCCTAGCCTCGTCACTACTTCGCCGAGGTTAGGCTCGACACTTACCAGCACATGGGGTCGGTTGTGCTGATACTACACTCTGCACTGTTTTGTGCAAATTCTGGTACTGGAGCATACGGACCTTTGCTAGGGGTTGCTGCCTTCAGTCCATCGGAGACCTGAGGTAATCATGCAGGCGTCTGCAGGCCTTGACGTCCCCTTCCTATCTAATTTCTTTCTGCTCTTTTTTATTTCAGAGACAGACATGCATTTATTTTGTTCAGACCCTGTTTGTAGTATTCTTAGATAGTCCGTGAGATTGTGATACCAGTTCTGGGTGGTTTATATTTATGGATTCGTATTGGTATTCGCTTAATCGTTAAATTTCGTTCTTCCGCATTATTATTTCCGCTATTTATAATATGTTAACTTGCGCTTGTTAAGAGGTTAAAAATGAAATGGGTAAATTAATCGGAATAGTTGGCTTGCCTAGCTTTCACTAGTAGGCACCATCACGACTCCCGAGGGTGGGAAATCCGGGTCGTGACAAGTTGGTATCAGAGCTCTAGGTTGCTTAGGTCTCACAATCCAAGGACAAGCTTGGTAGAGTCTGAGGGATCGGTACGGGGACGACTGTGCTTATCCTCCAGAGGCTATAGAGTTAGAAACAGTTTCACTTCTATTCTTCTCTATCGTGCGATTTGGTTTCTCAATGCTAATTGAACTTCTACTCTATTCTTTCGCAGATGGCGAGAACACGTGCATCTTCATCCGCTGACCAGCAGCCCGAGCCCCCAGCAGCAGCTCCCACGAAGGGCAGAGGACGAGGCCGAAGGCATGCTAGGGGCCGAGGCAGGGGCAGAGCTTAGCCCAGAGCAGCACCACCAGCAGCGGAGCCTCAGGTTGAGTTTGATGTTGAGGTTCCTGATGTTCTAAACGTCAATACCACACAAGAGGGGGGGGTGATTTGTGTGGTACTCAATTTTTCGCTTAAACTGCTTCTGGAAGGACCTGGTTCTTCTAGGTGTACTTATTACTACTGTTTGCGGAATTAAAAGTACATAAAATAAAGAACACAGAGATTTTACGTGGAAAACACCTGGCTCAAAAGGTGAAAAAACCACGACCTACTACTCAGTAGGATTTTCCCAAACTTCCACTAAAATCACTGAGCCAAAACTGCATTTACAAAACTCTTTGTAAACCTAAGGATTAACTCTAATCCCGTTGTGGCAACCAGCCTCTAGCTGCTGCGACAACTTCAAGTTAACTCTAACTTGAATACTCAAAATACCTATTACAATTGCTTCTAGATAAAGCTGAAAGGTACAATATGAAACACCTACTACAATTGAACTAGAAATAAAGAAAGACACATAAAACTCTTTATGGAGCTGGTTCTTCAATCGGGTTCATGTAGCTTCTGGTTTGCACACTTGAATCACACACGAACTGCTTGCAAAAAGCCTTGCTATTTTGCTCCCAATTCACGTTTAACTTCTGCGTTTTTGTGCAACACTTTAATGTGAGAACATCCTGCAATTTATAGAGTTAGTAGATGAAGAAATAACTAGAGTTCTGATGCAACTCTTCCTTGGTGGAAGAGTTCTAGTTGATTTCAACTTCTAACTCCTTCCCTATCTTGACTTATGTTCTCTTTGATTAAGGAATCCTTCTCCTTATCAATTATGCAACCTTTTCGACCAGGAGATATTAAATACATCAAGTTAAGCTTATCTCCATCACGTGCAACCCACATGCTCAAATCTGCCCGTTTTTGTGCACCTGAGGGATGGACCACTGGATGGACCTGGTTCATGTCTGAGTTCCTTTGTCAGTCTTCAAAAATAACCTTTACTTGGGCCAACAAATTCCCCCTTTTTGATGATGACAAACACTGTGCTTTTCATATTCTTAGTCCATGCCAGAACTCAGCTCAAACATCAACACAATGTTAGAAACATTTTTCCGTTATATCACTTATCATCAAGGACCGGGTACATTAGGTTATAAACATCACTGTTCAAAGTGTAAACATCACTTGTTTAAAGCACAACCTTTTTTTCCCCCTTTTGGCATCATCGAAAAGTTGCATAAAAAATGTGAGATAACCAGATTTTAAAACTTACTCATGGCCACTGGGGCTACTTCAAATGCAAACATGGATTAATCATCATAGATCAAACTAAGAATTTCAACCATCAAAGAAATATAAACAAACAGTTAGAGAAAAAATAGTGAACTTCATTGATGATTGATAAGATTCTACCACAGCGCATAAGAAGAAATAAAAATACTGAAAACATGAGCAAAAGAAACAAAACGTCCCAAACTGGGTCACTGGTTGATCTACACTAGGCTAGGATTTAAGGCTTGGAAGAGGTAGGGGCTGGGTTATTTGCTTGGAGAAATTTCAGCATGTCTTGAAGAATTCCATCATTCTTCTCCTTTTCCCTTGCAGGTTCAGTTCTGAGAACATCTCTCTCAGATTCTACCTCAACCAATCGTGTCTTCAGCCTTGCTATCTCAATATCCTCTGCCTCACTCTCCTGTACCAAGACTCTGACTTTGCTATTGATAGGTGTCTTTTTAGATGAACCAGGTTCATTAAGAATGACATTGACTTCATAATCGCAAGCAAGCAGAGTATTAACCCCGAAATGATCCTTGCTTGTACCTTGAAATGTGCAAGCACAGTTGTGAGAATGAAACCATAAGGAATGGCATGAGTTTTGGTGCCATTGATAACTCTATCAGTAGGTCCGCGAGGGTTTCCTATTCAGATGGAACAGGTTCATCTATAACTATTCCAAGTTGAACCAACCCCTCAGCAGCTTTGCCAGACCCACTTTCCCCTGTTTTGCTCACACTCTCTTCTATTTCAGTAAATTCCTCTCCCCAAACAACCATTGCACCAGTGTCTTTTATTATACCAACTGAAGTGGGTGAAGAATTAGCCACTCTTGTCCCCTTTCCCCTCACAGTACTCCTAGCGCCCTTGCTCTCCTTTTTTTTCATTTTTACCACCAACTTCTCCAGATTATGTAGACTCTATACCTGCTATACATCCTACAAATCTATTCTCCAAATTTGCAGGAACTTTAGAAATTGTCTCAAGAGAAACTTTAGAATTAGAAGATACCTGTTCAGTTTTGAAAGACCTACTTTCTTCCCCCTTAGTAGCAGACTTAAATGAATCTTCAGATTTCTAGGATTCTTCTTCCCTACCTGCTTTCAATTGCTTGTTTATTTGCTTGGTAATGAAGGATTTTCAGAGGTGTTTGACATATCTCGGCTAGGGTATGAGAAGAGAATTAGATTATGTTTGGAAGATGAAAGAAGAATGAGAGTTTTTGACGGCTTGAGAGAGATGAAGTAAGGAATACATCAAAGCTGATCAATATACAGAGGAATAATTGATGGGGTAGCTACATCTTTTCAGACTCTTAGAAGTTTAATCAAACTGAAATTCAGCTTTGAAGAGACATTGGAGTGTATCCCTAGAATCTAGGTACTTCCATTTGGTTGGGACTCTTTTGAACGGGACTGGTACACTTGTAACGGATATGTCCAAAAGGAGTTTGGTATTTGGTAGGACTCTCTGCTCATGATCCAAATATAGTTATTTCAAATTATGCAGAGTGTAGAAAACATACCGTGTTATCTTGATGAACCAGGTTCTTCACTGATAATTCTCTTGTGTGAGTCTAAATTTGCCAAAATAGAGAAAATATCATTAGAGATTAATGAGTCATTTTAACACATGGCACAAGAGTATACTATGGAAAGGATGAGACTGAGCAAGAATTAATCTAATTATACACAATTTATAGACTTTCTAACCAATTTTTTTTTTATTTTTTATCGTTTAACCTTGAACTGGTCCTTTTAGGTGATCTTAATCATCCCTAATTCCAACCTGTTCCTCTCAAAGTGATCTCTAC